AAAGCCATATTATTGCTATTGTTATAAAATGTACTTTTGCCACCATGTGTGATGCAGACTTCGGCGAAATTATTTATTGTGGCGTTTTAGGCCCCGTTCACACCATACCGGATTGCTATCGTAGCAGGTTGAATATTCTTTGTATTAAAAGGAAGTGAAATTGTTCAACGTCAGAAACACAATCAAATAGACTAAATCTATCAGCATAATAAGCTTTTACTCCAAACAGTTAACCCTTTAAAGCAAATGAAGATATCGTGATGAGCGAATCCGGTATAGTGTAAACGCAGCCTTAATACATGACCCGATGTTCGTGATATTTTGGACACGAACAAATGGACAGGAATTCCTTTGTTTTGAATTTTTATAAAAAGATTTGAAACACTGTGCTCGTGTAACGTTGCATGCCTAATACACCACTTTGGCGGTTTTCAAAAATGTGGAAACACGTGTTTGCTTAAGAGAAAAACTCGGACAAACATGGCGGAGTAATTTTATAACAATGGTTACGAGGAAGTGGTGCGCTTGAAGTATGGTCTATTCCAGGTGACCTGAATTTCAACAATAAGAATAAAGATCATATATCATGCATTATGCATATGTACATGCATAAGGATTTTACATAAAAAGGAGATCGTTCACTTGATTCTCGTATATTTCTTTACTTGGCTAACTTCGCTTTAAAAGAAAAGGTAGATATGACTTATCTATTCTATTTTACACTAAGTAATAAAATATTTTGCTATTCTAACGATTCGAACCATACATTTCAACAACGCTTCGTCAAATGGTATGTGAAAGAAGTTGATACATTTCGGCATTTTTCCTGCTGGATTCTTTTCCCGATCATTTTAAACTAATTTTGTCTGTTTTTTTCGCTTTTGGAAATAAAATATTCACAATTTTAATTTATTTTTATTATACTGGGTGAAATAAAATAATTGTTTTAAAATCTCGAGGTCAGTGTGATGTCCACACATTTAGCAAAACACGACGTTAATTTAAGCTGTCGTAAAATTTTTGCGAAGGATTTGGGTCTAGGACGCAACCACGTCGTTAAGTATTTATGATTTAGCAAACCTTTTGTAGGACTTCGTCAAATGTTGAAATATATTTCAACATTGGCTATCCATCCATTTCAACAACGCTTCGTCAAATGATGGTATGAAACAAGTTTCATCCATTTCGGCATTTTTACTGCTGGATCGTGTTTTCCGATCATTTTAAACTAATTTTTTGATATCAAAAATATACTGCAGTACATTTTAGTAAAATTATCAACATTGTGAACTAAAATTGTTTTGACTCCGAGGAAACCCCGCAATTAGAGCAAACCCCGCGTTGTTTATTTGTCTGTTTTGTTCGCTTTTGGAAATAAAATATTCGCAATTTTAATTTATTATTATTATACTGGGTGAAAAAAATTGTTTATGATCTTCATTTTTTTCTACATTTCTATGTAGTCAGTGTGGGTCACAAAAACATCGTCATACAACAGTCTGTCTTCTAACGTCGCTGCACTGATGAAAATAACTAGATTGTATAAAAATAAGAAACTCTCATCACGCGAACACCAACAAATTTCATTACATATTTCTTCACGACAAAGCAAGTATATGCTGGCTGATAGTAATTTAATACATTCGTGATGTTCTATTTCACAATTCGTTTGGTTCATTTAAAGATGCAAAAACTTGCAATGAAACCTGTATAAAGTTCATTAAATACGTCGCATAAAAATGTTTGCTATCGTAGACAAACAGCACATTTACTATCTCTCAGTAAGTCAGAGACACCTCTAATTATCTTACTATATCAAGTTATTCGAGTAACATTGTTCCAAGCGTTACCTTGGATACAAATACCAATAATAAGCTAATACAATAATGTTACATACGTATAGATCATGGGATAGACATTTATTCTCACTAATCTGTAGTTTTGGGTAAATACATACAATAAATCTCAGTAATACATAAGTACCCATCTCAGAAAGTACCCACAGAACATACAGTAAATACATAAATAAATACAAACAATACATACAAACACAAAAGCCCCAAAGTAATGAAAAATTACAAATTCTTATTCTTTGTCCTAACGTTTCAGAAAATGATCACGTGACATAAAAACAAAATACTTATGAATTCCAGACGTAAAGATGTACTTTGCAAATTTCAGAACATTACCATTGTTAATTTCTCTAGAAATGTATAGTTTCACCGTCTGAGATTGGTGAAATTTGAAATGCGTAATAAGTTGGCTATTTTGTAGAATAGTCCACATTATGCCTCTTTCCTATTCTAATTATCTTTAGATCGTCATTTACAAAAAGATGAACAACAAAGGTAAAAATACCTGTGTTGAAAAAGAGAATAACGTTAAAGAAGATAGTTGTGATGGGTTAGAAGATGGCAACGAAAGATACGACAGTGCAGTGGAAAATGAAAGCATGGAAGATGGTGAAAATACTCAACCAATTCTAAATTTACCCATTCAAGAGACTTTTCCTGAAGAATTTTTGTTTGACCTGCAAGACTTGACAAGAATGCTGAACGAAGATTTGGTTTTAAATGTTCCATCAACGTTAGAAAAACTTTAAAGATTTGTTAACTTCAACGTAAAATGATTTATACTAAGAGAAATAAATCATGTACATTTTATATTATAAATAGGTTTGTGTAAAACGCAAGAACTCAAGAAAATATTTTGTTTTAACCATTCAATAATGAATGGAAGAAAGGCATACTTTAATCTTATGTACTAATGAACAATTTAAAATAATTTGTACGTTTTTGCAAAGCTCTTTCTTAATAATAATTATTTTCATTAATGTAATTATTAATCTTTATCGAGTGATAATTTTTTAGTGCTGTCATTTCATGCGTTATAATGTATAAACCACTGAGCCACTGGCAAAACGCCGAACATTTGCATGTTTGAAATACTAGAGGTCAATAAGTGCAATCTAAGAGCTCATAAGCTCCGTCGCTTCCGATTCTTTAGTCAAACAGCTAAACACATCTTGACGTTGGACTAAGACACGCTATAAAGTGTTGCCACTGATAAATAAGAAAAACGCACACGAAAGAACAAAGCTAATTAAAAAATAGGGTATTCCTTTCGGTTTGAGTAATAGAATTCTAGTAATTTTCAAGGTTGACAGAGAAATAAAGAGTTGTAGATTCATCAATATTGTTGAAAAGCGGGATTTTCAATATAAATATTACACCACAACATATAAATTATAAGTTGGACTGTAATATTTATATTGAGTGATCGATTTATAATTGGTGTTGGTATTGACTGACTTTTCGAAACTTCAAATTCACGTAATCTTAACGGCTCTTCACAGGATTTGCATTAACCTAAAAATCAACATCTACAAACGAGTAATTTAAAACTTCACATCATTAAGTTTATTACCGACTTGAGATTGTTGCTTTCGATGGTGAGCATCAATTTAATCAAGTTAAAATTTTGGATATATTATGTATGTTATTTCTTTTATGAAACTAGACGGAGTAGGGCTGTCATTTCATTTGTAATAAAAAGTAATTTTTCATGGATCGCGTAGCATATCTTTATTGAGTGGCTATATCAACCACCAAATTCGGATGCAAGTAAGGGAACTGAACATTATTTGGATAACTTTGCCAAAAATGCTGAATTTAGCTCCAAACAAGACGCTGTTTCCTAAGAGAGTCAGGCTGTGAACAGGAAGTGCGTCTGCAATGGCATAAACTGTCGCCAGCTAAACGGTCAATTTATCGTGTTTTGTTTACGTACGCTTATCAATAAAACCTGAAAAATATTTAGAGTTCATCAAGAGCATTTACTCTACTGTTTTCAGGGGTAAATGCGTTGCTGTCTCCGCGTAATTCGTTTTAATTTATTGCTTTCACTCAAGGGGTATAAAAGTGATAATTGTTCTCTGAATTGTATGAGAACGCATTATATCGTGTATTTCATCACTTCGATTTAACTCGAACATCTTCGTTGACATACACCAAAACCAGTATGTAATCCAATTAAAATATACATTGCAAGTTATCTCTAAGGGAAATGAGCTGCGGGCATTTTCTTTGTATTGTACGAAAAGATTTTAAATTTTTCTTTCCATGCCACCACTTAACGACATTATTGTTTGTATTATGTAAAGAAGTGTGTAGATAACCATGCCGCGTTTTGCGTCCGCGACAAACGTTGTTGAATGTCGGTTCATCGTGGTTCTTGCATTGCACTGGTGTGTCATGTAGCTGTGGCAGAATGAAGGATATAAATTGTTAAAGTTTGTCAACTGTATTTACATTCGATTTTATACAAAGTAAGGAAAAGAGCGAAAAAACGGTGAAAAAATCCAGAGCTAACTTTAATCAAATACGGACGAAAGGAAAATCGCGAGAGCTTGAAGAAAGTACATCAAGACGAAAAAAATAATTCCCGTTCACAAAACGTTCCAGAGAGTGTTGCAGAGGATCAAAAGATGAAACCTGGAGCAGAAAGTCTGACTGAATATCTAATATTTTTACTCGTACTTTTATATTGGAACTTCTTATTGAATTGTATGATTTAAATTTTCCTTCAATTTCTGATGAACTATAAATATCTATAATTTGTACAAGTTCGCCGTGAACATAATAATAATTGAAATATTTACTAATTAGAACAAATGTACTTTTCGATGTCGAGTTTTCTATTTGTGAAAAAGCAAATTTTTATTTGCCCTTAGTTTTAACTAGAACATCTTCGTTGACATACACCAAAACCAGCATGCAATCCAATTAAAATATACATTGCAAGTTTCTCTAGGAGAATGACCTGCGGGCATTGTCTGACTCTGAGTTTAAATTTCATGTTAATTTAATCTCGACGTTCACCTTTGACGTTTATCAGATCTTATACAGTCTGTAAAGTTCGTTGAAAAATTCTAATACTCCTTTCTAACTTTATATATCATCAAATGAAATCGAGAATGTTTGAAATTTTAAACACGGAAGTGTATCATGACGTTAACTGTATTAAAAAGTACAAAAGCTCACAAAACGACAAAAACTTTATGATTATGTCGACATTGCGAATGAAGAAAACAATAACATAAAGGAAAATATGGCTAGTTTTATGAAACAATGATGTATCGTATCGTATATGTATTTCGTTTCGTACATTTGAGCCTCCTTCGAGAGATGTTTTCTTCACCAAAGTCAAGATGTTAATGAAAGTTTGATGAAATCCGTTCGACTCCTTTTTAGGATTTTTCTTGGTTTGATAATTCCTCGAGATTTTGATTGGTTGGTTGGGGGAAACTGTTGTACTTCCTGCGTTAGCAAAGACTGGACACTGCAAGGTGACGTCACACAACGTGCGAACGTATCGAAGAAGTGGACCGCTAAGGGAAAACTCCTCTCTGTTGTTTGCGAAGTTTACATAACGTGAGATCGTGCCGAAGAAGAGGACCACTAACACAGAGGCAAGGGATTCTTATTGTCTCAGATCTATCTCAATTTTTAAAGCGTGCAAACGAGACTTTCAACTTGATTTGTACATTTTTACCTTCGTGGCTAACTTGGCTTCAGTAAAAGAGGTTGGTGTGAGAGTTACGATTTACATTTACTAATTTGAGTGTCGTTTATAACTTTCACGTTTTGCTCCACCATCGTTAAATCATCTCACTAATAATTTAAGTTTATTATTATTGTACATGGTGTATCATACAGAATGTTAGAAATTTCTCGTTTATTTGCCATTGAGCTAAAGTTGGGTTATATATTCAGCGTAAACTACTTGACGGAGAATAAAAATGCCATAACAGTTGTGAAATTTTTCCTTGACCAGTTGTAAAATTTCCGAAGCATAACTCGAAGCTCACGTGACTAAGTAATCTTGTTGTGGCGCATAATCAGCAGCCACAATACATTTTTATGTGGCACAAACAAAGCTAAAGTCGGTGATATGCCGTATTTTGTCGCCTTTTCGAGTCAATAAAGACTCTTGAAGACACCAGTGCTTTTGAATACGGAGGTTCGGGAGTCTTCTATGTCTAAAACTTTCGGAAAAAAACTGCTTTAGACATGATATGGACAACTAACGAAAAGTTGACGTTGTTTAACAACCTGTGGCAAAGAATAAACGGAAAGATAGTATTAGTGTCGATGGTATGAATTGTGCTATAACATTGCAAAGGCTGCCATCGGCAAACGACAAAATGATGGCGAACAAACTTTTAAAAAAAATCCGCAATACGTTTCAAAAATTGGACGAAATTTCGCTTGTCATTGTCGAAGGTGTTGATAAAAATTTGTTGATTTTCGTTGAGAATCACGTTTCTATGTTCGTTAAATATGAAAATAAAGTTGTTTATGTGTATTTGAAACAAGCAAATGCTGATGTTTATTGTGCAAAGAAGTAACATGCACAGATGCACTTGTCTTATTTTATAGTATTAGGTCTTTGCCGAGCTTTGCCATCATAAATCTTACATATGCTCTTTTTAACTAAAGGGAAATGTGCCAAATGCTTGTTCCAAAACTATTGCAAACTTCCTGTTTAGAAAACGGGTGCAAATACAAATCAATAGTATCAATTATATTACAATCATACCAAGTACATTTGAATGAACAAAATGAAAGTGTTTTATTTCACGAGTCTTTGGAATTGAACTAATTACAACAAACTTTGTGAATTATTTCATGAAATATTAAGCCAAATTTAGTGAAGCATGTTCCCGAGTATCAGAGGATGCAGACAAATATTGTTGATAAAATTAAATAGAAAAGTATCCAGTATTTTGACACGACAAAAAGCTGCAGTGAGAAGCAACTACAACATATGCTTGACCGCAGTCTACGCAAGCATCTTTGCCAACTTTACCAAAGCCTATCGCACATTGAACATCAGCATTTGCTTCATTCTAATGCAACTAAACAACTTTATTTTCAGATTACATAGATACAGATAGGCTACCTTTAACAAAAAGCAACAAAATTTTACCTTGAAAGTCTTCTTTGTCGTGATGTTGTTGACAAAACCTTCCGCATAAGTAACCGGCATCCTTCATCTTGTTTGGGTCGACGATGGGAGAAATTTGTGAGACATAGTGCAGTTATTTTCAAGGGGCTTGTCTGTCAGCTTTTCGCTTATAACCGATGATAGATTTTTGCAATGATTCTAAATTTTATTAACCATCTCGTACCATTTAAGTCGATACAATCTTTCAGTTTGTTCTTTGACTTGACGTCGCTGGATGTTGAACAATATCACCTTCATTGTCATTTAATAAAGCAATTTTTCCTAAAATTTCAGAGGCAGAATGCTACTGAATGCCCGTATTTAATTCCTCAAACAAAATGTCGTCTTTAGTTGTCTAAACTGACTTTGAAGTAACAACACAATATAGATTTTGCATTGTTGTCCATGCATAAGCACATGCAAAATATAAAACGATGGAATATTTTATACGATACCACGTGACCGTGACCACCTACACTAGACAATAGATCATGCGCGCTTTTCGCTGTTTTCTGTTGAATTGTGTCTCCCTTCATATACTTCTTGACTCCCACATATACTTCACATACTTGATACCTTGTTAGTTTGCACAAGACTACAAGTGTATGAGTTACTCAAGGAATAAAAGCAATTTTTCATTCCTATTTTTCTTATTTGTGGTTTCTCAAGAACAGGTACTTTGTTTAAAAGAGAACACATACTTTTACTCGAGCTAAATTTTGTTAGTCCTTATTTAGCTAAAGCTACGAGATATGTTTTGGTTTTATATACTTACTGCATTTGTACAAAATTGCGGGTTTTTTCAATTTTCAAAGAGTAGTTTATGTTTATACTTATTGCATTTTAGGGTTGTTAGTGAATTTGTACAAAATTGCATGGTTTGGATTTCTAATGGACAGTACAAGCTAGTTTAGGCTTTTCTGACGTTATGTTCATTACAGTTCAACATCATGTAAATTTTTAAATTGCTGAATTTTGACCTTATGCATAGTGTATCGAATGTTCATTAATTTTAGCTGCCATGCTTTGATCTTGTTTCATACCTTTTTTGTACAGTTGAAAATTATCCCAAATTTAACTCCAAAATTTTGCGCCCAAGCCCTCACGACATCAGATCGGAATATTCAATTGTCTATTTGAATCTATTCTCACTTCTGTTGGGGGCTATGTTAATACTTGCATGCAATTTGCTCCTCTGCTTTATTTATTTTGCGATTCTTGGGAATGTTGCAAAAATACTTATTTGATATAACAAGGCGTTCACTCGGCCAGAAAAATGTTTGATTATATTTGCGTCTGGTAATAGTTGTTGTCAAATGCAACGAATTAAAGGCACCACTTGTCTCAGAATTCCTCTTTCTTATACTTGTTGCACGATCGTGTATGAAATACTTTGGTTGTCTGTAAGATTAAAATCAAATTTTAAACATTATCACGTAATTTGTAAGGTAGCGTATTGTATGGAAAAGTTCCGTGAATAAAGACGTCTTATCTTCATTTTATACAAACACAGCCATGGATAGAAAGAAAACTTCTAACGACTCGAGACCTTCAGAAAATGAGCAAAATGAGGAAAGCAATGGTGAGCAAAACTTGCAAGATTGTGTTGGAGAAGCGGGAGCGGAAACGGGAAATGGTCTGGGAGCTCCCATACAAGAGAGCGGTTTTGAAAATACTACTGGAGGTTATCCCATACAAGAGAGCCTTGTTGAGGAATTCAATTGTTCGCCTTATATACCAGAAGAACTTTAAATCAACTTTGGCTCAATGTATCAGAAACGTTATATTTAGAAATAACCATTGTAAGTCAACTGTACGTCATTTATCTCTATTTATCACATTTTGTAACATATTCATTTGCACTGATGAGTTTGCCGAAACATGTCTGTAATAAAAAAGTTTGTTTTATGTATTCAGTTTATTTCAATTGTGCTTTTACGTAAACATATTTTTAACCTTGATCATTCATCAACAAGAGCTTAGCAAACTACTTTGTGTTTATTTTGTCAGTTCTTCTCATTATGCTGGCAAGCCAACAAAGGTCAGAGGCTTGAAATGTTCTTGTGAATCCTACTGCCATGCCTTTACATTTATAATTAAAAAGTGAACTTTCAGATAACTTTACAATTGTGGAGTCTACATTCTCTGCTTATTATAAATGCAGTTATATTTCTTTTAGTCAAGAAATGTTATGTTAAATGCTCTTTTAGCAATGTGCTAGACTCAGTGCTGGCAGATCGTAAACAAAGTTCACAGATTTGTGAACTTTGTGCTCTCTTCATGAACATTTCATGAACATTTAAAGTTTGTGAACTTTTTGTGAACTTTTCTAAATATTATGCATTTTTGTATTTTCATCATTTTCATGAATAATGTATAGATAACTCATAGTTCAATGAAAAGAAAATCTCATGGCTTGACACTTCTTTCAAAACAACGACGATTTTAAGGTAATCCGATGTTTTCCGAATACTTCCGAGGGTTTTCAAAAAATTTCAAAGGTTTTCCGAAAATGTCCGAATTAATCCGTTAACTTCCGATTTTAAAAATTAGATGTAATATGAACTTTTTGCCATTTTTGTGAACTTTTGACGCAAGCGAGCATGAACATTTTTAAATTTCGAAACTTTATTTTCTTTGTCTTTCTCTGTTTATTGTAAATAAAACGTTATCCACTCTGTGGCATTTCGTTGTTCATGTCTTATGACGACAATTTTAGCCGCCATTTTGGGGAATATTTTAGTTATTTGTGTTAAACTTGGAAATGTTAACGTGAAAAAAACTGAACCAAACGAAGAAAAAGTAGAAGCAATACATTCATTCTGTGCTTGATCGCATAAGGTTTGTGTCAAGTATGAATAAATATGTTCAAATGTTTATTTTCTGTATGTTTTTGTATGTATGTTTAGGAAATTTTGTTTGTAAAATTAAAGTTAAGATTGTACAGAGCACAGCGATTATTTACGAATAAATTGTCTTGTTCTTTAAGATAAATCGTATTTCACCACCTACCTATGTTGTCATGACAACAACAATGAATTGAGAAGAAGGTTTAAAAGCTTTAGAAACTTCAATCAAAACCATTGAAGAAGTCATTATGAACAAGAAAGGTACATTTGTTCTAAGTATAAAGTACCGTTCTTCAAACTTTCTGTTATCAATCTCTGTATCATTTTATTCCATGTGCATATTATGCTATTAACACCTTGTTATCATCTTTATATCATCTTTGTACTACCACCATGTGAACTTCATACCATACCATATCATCCTCAAACCATCACCACATCATCTTTGTACTACCACCATGTGATCCTCATATCATACCATATCATCCTCAAATCATCACCGCATCATCTTTGTACTACCACCATGTGAACCTCCTACCATACCATATCAACCTAGTACCATCACTATATATTATCCTCATGCAATCACCATATTATCTACATACCTCCCCCATACCATCCTTGCAAGTCATTGTGTGTGATTTGCACATTACAAGTCAATTGTTGATTCAAACCTTCACTTTACACACAGATTTTTAACTTTGATCATTACTGACCAAGAGCTTAGCAATCTACTTTTGTGTTTATTTTGTCAGTTCTTCTCATTATGTCAGATACATGCCAATCAAGATTAGGGGTTGAAATGTATTTGTAAATCTTATTGCCATGACTTTGCATTCATGCAAGAAATTTGTTGATTTCAAATGATAAATTAAAGCAATAAATTTCTACCATTGATTATCATTTTTATTTGTTCAGCCAAAGGTTGTCACAGATATGGATGAAGCAGACTTTGCAAAGGAACTGGAAAAACTTGAACGTCAAAATGCAGAAGTTGATGGTGATGATGATAATCCTGATGATGAAGAAAAACATGATGAAGCATAAATGATTGTGGTTTGTTTTAAAACTTGCTGTGTTTTATTTTTATCATACACAACCCTGCAGTTGACTTGAACTGCATTTAGTTAACTTCAATTATATTCAAACCCAACACAGATATCAATCTTTCATGTGACTATTAGAAATAAATGTTTCATGGTCAGTATTTCGAGAGAAAATTTATTTAAGGTCCATTATGGTTAAAATACAGCCTCAAATATTTAACTTGAGATGAATTGGACCTTCGCGAAACTATTGTAAATGTGTAGTCGTTGAAGTGAAGTTAAATTTCATGTTAACTTAATCTCGACGTTCACCTTTGCCGTTTATCAGAACTTATACAGTCTGTGAAGTTCGTTGAAAAATTCTATTGCTACTTTCTAACTTTATATATCATCAAATGAAACTGAGAATATTTGAAATTTCAAACGCGGAAGTGTATTAAGATGTTCACTGTAAAATTACAAAAGTTCACAAAACGATAGAATCTTTATGATTTTATCGACATTGCAAATGGACAAAGCAACAATAAAAATAAACATTACTAGTTTTATGAAACAGTGTTGTTTCGTGTTCATCTGATGTACTTCATACTGCTTCTGTTCAGAGCTTGTTTTGACCCTTGGTTGGGAGATGTTTCCATTACGAAAGTCAAAGCGTAAGTGATGTCTGACGATGTCATGAGCTCGAAGCAGTCAGAATTTTCGTTGGGTGATGAAATCACAAGGTTTTGATTGGTTCTTGTAACTGTTTATGTACGCCCACTATTCTGTGACTGTCGATGCGGCTGAAAATAATACTGTCTGACTGTAGTTGCTCTGACTGTAGTTGCTCTGACTTGTGTGGCTGCGGTGTGCGACTCTCATATACCAGGAGAGAGTATTTCTCGTTGTAATCCGTCATCTGCGGTGGGCGACCCACATCTGGGGCGAGAGAGTATTTCTCATTGTAATTCGTCAGAGTCAGACCTACTTTGTCAAGTGTATGAGATTTCTACTTCAGAAGAGAGGTTGCTGTGAGAGGTAAGAAAGCTTGTTTATTTTATTTTACTTATGTTGAAAATAAATTTCAATTGAATGTAAATCTCCGACCTTAAATGACGATCGATCCTCACTAAAGCGAGTGGTAATAATTTTAGTTTATTGTTGTTATACATGGTGTGTTGAACAGAATGTTTTAAATTTCTTGTTTAATAGTTGTTGTGCAAAGGTTTGGATGTATTTCTTATGTACCGTTATGCCGTATGTACCGTAGCTACGAGGCATAACCGTTATGCCTCGTAGATACTTTGCATCCAATAATTGAAATTGAGGTATTTTTCATCTGCTATAAAATATTGAAACATTTAATGAATTTTCACAAACTATCTGGTAAATAACGCGTACGAAAAGCGTAGTGCGACCCTAAATTTATAGTAAGTTTAATGATGTAAAAGTGGTGGACAAATTAAATGGTGGGTAAACAGCAAGTAGCCCAGCAAGTGTCTTAATTCCCTTATTTGCATATTAAATCGTACGTAAGAAAAGTGTCGTGCGACCCTAGATTAATAGGTTAATTTGCATATTGCAAAATTTTTTTGCGAATGTGATCGTTGTGATCATGCGCAAAATTCGACAAATTAAGTTCGACTTTTGAATCGATGTCGAGCCACGTCGTTCTTTGCCGTACCAAATATGAATTAGGTTCGGCACATGAAAAGCACGACGTTTGAACCGTGCTTAAGCGAAAATCGGTGATCTTTTCTTGTTGCCTTTTCAAGTCAATAAAGACGATTTATGACAACAGTTCTTTTGAATACAAAGGTTCTCAGGAGTCTTCTGCATCTGAAAATTTCGAAAAACTGACCTTGTTCAACAACTTGTGGCAAAGAACAAACTAAGAGATTGCGATAATTTGAATTGTACCAGTAATAATTATAACATTGCAAAAGTTATCATTGGCTAAAGCACTATGTCTCACAAAATTGGACGAAATTACGCTTGTCGTTGTGGAAGGTTTCTTGCTAAAAATTTGTTGCTTTTCGTTGTGGACTGCATTTCTACGTTCATTAAATATGAAAATAAAGTTCTTTATGTGCATTTGAAACAAGCAAATGCTGATGTTAAATGTGCAAATAATTATGTAATTTTGTGTTAAGATGGCTTTTGCTAACACGCAGTCGTCCTATTACATAGCATCATGACTTTCCTTCATAAACCTTACATATGCTCAATACAACTAAAGTGTAATGTGCCAAATGGTAATTCCAAAACCATGGCAAAAGTTATCAAAGTTGAAACATCCTGTTTAGAAGGCTGCTGTAGATACAAATCAATAGCAATCAGACAATACAAGAAAAACAACGAGTCTTTGAAATTTAACTATTACAAACATCGAGTTATTTCATGAAACACAAAGTCGAATTCAGTAAAGCATGCATGTTCCCAAGTACTAAATGATTCAGACAAATATTGTTGGTAAAATTAAATAGAAAAGTATCCAGTATTTCGACATGACAAAAGCTGCAGTGAGAAGCAGCTACAACTTATGCTTGACCGCCGTCTGTGCAAGCATCTTTGCCAACTTTACCAAAGCCTATCGCACATTGAACATCAGCATTTGCTTCATTCAAATGCAACTAAACAACTTTATTTTCAGATTACATAGACGTAGATACGCTACCTTTAACAAAAAGCAACAAAATTTTAGCTTGAAAGTTTACTTTGTCGTGATGTTGTTGACAAAACCTTCCGCATACGGCATAAGTAACCGGTAATTCTTCCTCAATGTATCGATCGACGTTGGGAGAAATTTGTGAGACACAGTGAAGTTATTTTCAATGAGCTTGCTTGTCAGCTTTGGGTTAGTGACTGATGACAGATTTTGCAATAATACTAAGTTTTACTAACCATCTCGTAAAATCCAAGTCGATACAATCTTTCAGTATGTACTTCGACTTGACGCCGCTGGATGTTGAAAAACGTCACCTTTTAGTTTAACGACGATATTACTGCTAAAATAAAGCAGTCTTTTCTAAAATTTTAGAGGCAGAATACCCCTGAACGTCCGTACTTGATTTCTGAAAAGAAATTGTGTCTTTAGTCGTCTCAACTGACTTTGAAAAGCGAAAAGAAACAGAACAATATAGACTTTGCATTGTCGTCCACAAATACAAAATTACGCTTACATGTCATGCAACTTGAGACCACAAAACAATGCGCGCTTCGAGTTACCTGAGTTGGTTGTCTATTGGCTTATTGTTATGCATGAATTTGATTGGTTGTCACAGGCCAATAAGCTTCTCTTTTCGGTTTTCACGCCAGGTTTTTATTGTAGGGATTCTACACAACAAAACTGGTGTGAAGAATTAAATCCGGTCATACAGAAGCTGATTCTTCTTGCTTGAACATGAGGTATGTCGCTTTGAATGTTTCTATTTTTTAAAAGAGAAATTCTATTTATTTTTTTTTAATTCGCACAAATGTATTTTTGAAAAAATTTTGCTAAATGTATTTTTGCTAATTGTAATAAAAAATTTATTACAATTTATTAAAAAAAACTTTTCTATTTTATTACATATTTATTTTACAACTTTCACTTTTTTATTTTTTTTTATTTTTAATTTTTTTTTATTTTTTATTTTTTTTTTTTTTTTTTTATTTTTATTTTTTAATTTTTTTGGTTTAATTTAAAATTATTTTAATTCGTGTTCGTAATTTCCTTACATTTATTCTCTTTTACACGCATAATGCTTGTGGTGAGCCGTCCAATGACTAACGCATGCGCATTAGTGTAAAAGCGAGTCTTCACCATTGATCTTAGTATAGGCTGGATTACGCATTGAATCGACATGTAAATGTCAACATTGAACTTGATTCTCAAATTCGAAAGGGAAAACAATTTCTTTGAAACACAAGGTTGTTCTGAATACGGTGAACTTTCATTCACTGTAAATTAAATACAAACTAAATGAGTTGAAACGCAGTTAATCTCGAAATTAGTTCGAAATTTAATGCAATCAACTGCTTGAACGGAATCATCTTCAGAATGGAAAATGGCGACTTAAATATTGTTAAGCCCTTAAAAAAATGGTGTTGACAACTTGCTTATAGATTTAGCATGTTTTTACGGTACTAAAGAACCTTTACGGTAAGAGTTTCGAACTTTAAAACATTGACTTACATCTACAGCTCACATTCACTCATCCCAATCAAGCGAATTTTCTTGATATGTTAAAAATGAATAGTTCTTTTGAATGTTTTGTAAAGTCTTTTGCATTATTATCTTCATTCATTTAAGTTCTATTCATCCAGTGTTGTACATCATAATTTTTGTATAAATAAGAACGCACATTTTGCATTATTCCTTTCCCAATACATCTCACTTGTAATTACAGACATTGTAATTTGTATGTCAATGCAGTACATCAACCTGACATTGTCATTCTACGTTACAATGCATTTTACACTTGACCCAGTTTTTGGTTAGGTTGTCTTCTGTTATATTAAGAATATGTTACTTTAGCTCTTCCACTAAAGATGTGTTGTTTTGTAAGTACACCATAGAAATTCCATCATACGACCATTAAAATATTTATATATACACACATACTGCAAGCAACGTTCAAAGTATTTCAATTTCTCAAAATGTTAATAACACAGTTTTAGTTTTGTACATGATAATAAAAGCAAGGTAGCACAGTAGTTATGGAAGGTTATACTGCCTTTGAAAGACCCATCTAAAAGAACTTTTTGTATATAATAGCAGAGTAAAACATGTTTTCATGTGGTGGTTCATTGTGTTTTTGCAGTTGTATTCAAGTCTAATAAAAAACTAACTTGACATTCCAAATCATTATGCATGGCTGATCTTGTTTAGTCAGTGCTGTTTTACCTTGTTTTCAACATTTTAACTTAATGTCATTCTTTTTGCCTCTGATTAAAATGCCATAGTTCACTGCATTTAATTTATTTAAAATTATTAAATATATTAAAAATTATTGAATTTATTTTAAGAATGCTTTGCTAAACTGTCGCATTCTTCTATCATCATGATAGGAAAATTTGTCTGATCAGAATCACAGAAAGGCTTAAGGTCGCAAATATTAATGAAATTGTTTGACTAATTTTATATTAAATGTGTCATCCAGTCCTATATTAGATCAGTGGTTTTTTACACATTCTTGGTAAAGAGCCTTGATGTCCTTAACACAGGACTTCTGGTTCTTAAACAAAATTTAAACATTCTTTTAGAAAATTGGTTCAATTCTTTAATTTTTGTTTCGTTTAAAAATGTTTGAAAGATTTTCAGATTAATCTTTGATAACATGTTCATTTACATTTATAGTCCACAACACGTTGACAGATGTCTTGCTGTGAAACAAGAAAAAGTGAGAGTCCCCCATTGGCCATGTCAAGAAACAGTGGCTGCTGCAGAAGTCAATGATAAATCAATTAGGAATTGGATAAATGAACAATTGTAATTTATAGAGTCAATCAATTTTATATATTTTATTTGTTGTACCAAGAACATGTTGTATATATTTATGTATTGAATGAAAAGAAAATACCCAACATTTTACTTCTCAACCTTTTTAAAAAGTTTTTATGATTCAAAGACGTGTTTGTCCCTACATTGCTCTTTTGGTCACAGTGCCTAAGAGTTTTCTGTGAAATGCAGAATTTAGACATTCGTATATTTGAGTGGCACACAGCTGAAGGTTGATTGAATTGGGTAGAGAAGGGATAACAATGTGCTACTGATGATCACCAGCATCCTTAGTTAGACCACAAGACTATCAGCGTCACTAAGTTGTCTAGAGAAAGGATAACAATGTGCTACTGAGGATCACCAGCATCCTAAGTTAGACCACAAGACTATCAGCGTCACTGAGTTGTCAAGAGAGGGATAACAATGTGCTACTGGGGATCACCAGCATCCTTAGTTAGACCACAAGACTATCAGCGTCACTGAGTTGTCAAGAGAAAGGATAACAATGTGCTACTGAGGATCACCAGTATCCTTAGACCACAAGACTATCAGCGTCACTGAGTTGTCAAGAGAGGGATAACAATGTGCTACTGGGGATCACCAGCATCCTTAGTTAGACCACAAGACTATCAGCGTCACTGAGTTGTCGAGAGAGAGATAACAATGTGCTACTGAGGATCACCAGCATCCTAAGTTAGACCACAAGACTATCAGCGTCACTGAGTTGTCAAGAGAAAGGATAACAATGTGCTACTGATGATCACCAGTATCCTTAGACCACAAGACTATCAGCGTCACTGAGTTGTCAAGAGAGGGATAACAATGTGCTACTGGGGATCACCAGCATCCTTAGTTAGACCACAAGACTATCAGCGTCACTGAGTTGTCGAGAGAGAGATAACAATGTGCTACTGAGGATCACCAGCATCCTAAGTTAGACCACAAGACTATCAGCGTCACTGAGTTGTCAAGAGAGGGATAACAATGTGCTACTGGGGATCACCAGCATCCTTAGTTAGACCACAAGACTATCAGCGTCACTGAGTTGTCAAGAGAAAGGATAACAATGTGCTACTGATGATCACCAGTATCCTTAGACCACAAGACTATCAGCGTCACTGAGTTGTCAAGAGAGGGATAACAATGTGCTACTGGGGATCACCAGCATCCTAAGTTAGACCACAAGACTATCAGCGTCACTGAGTTAGGGAGAGAAAGGATAACAATGTGCTACTGAGGATCACCAGTATCCTTAGTTAGACCACAAGACTATTAGCGTCACTGAGTTGTCAAGAGAGGATAACAATGTGCTACTGGGGATCACCAGCATCCTTAGTTAGACCACAAGACTATCAGCGTCACTGAGTTGTCAAGAGAGGATAACAATGTGCTACTGAGGATCACCAGTATCCTTAGACCACAAGACTATCAGCGTCACTGAGTTGTCAAGAGAGGGATAACAATGTGCTACTGGGGATCACCAGCATCCTTAGTTAGACCACAAGACTATCAGCGTCACTGAGTTGTCGAGAGAGATAACAATGTGCTACTGAGGATCACCAGCATCCTAAGTTAGACCACAAGACTATCAGCGTCACTGAGTTGTCAAGAGAAAGGATAACAATGTGCTACTGATGATCACCAGTATCCTTAGACCACAAGACTATCAGCGTCACTGAGTTGTCAAGAGAGGGATAACAATGTGCTACTGGGGATCACCAGCATCCTTAGTTAGACCACAAGACTATCAGCGTCACTGAGTTGTCGAGAGAGAGATAACAATGTGCTACTGAGGATCACCAGCATCCTAAGTTAGACCACAAGACTATCAGCGTCACTGAGTTGTCAAGAGAGGGATAACAATGTGCTACTGGGGATCACCAGCATCCTTAGTTAGACCACAAGACTATCAGCGTCACTGAGTTGTCAAGAGAAAGGATAACAATGTGCTACTGATGATCACCAGTATCCTTAGACCACAAGACTATCAGCGTCACTGAGTTGTCAAGAGAGGGATAACAATGTGCTACTGGGGATCACCAGCATCCTAAGTTAGACCACAAGACTATCAGCGTCACTGAGTTAGGGAGAGAAAGGATAACAATGTGCTACTGAGGATCACCAGTATCCTTAGTTAGACCACAAGACTATTAGCGTCACTGAGTTGTCAAGAGAGGGATAACAATGTGCTACTGGGGATCACCAGCATCCTTAGTTAGACCACAAGACTATCAGCGTCACTGAGTTGTCAAGAGAGGGATAACAATGTGCTACTGAGGATCACCAGCATCCAAAGTTAGCCAGGCAGGTGAAATGGTCGAGTGTGGTATGGTTGGTTGGTAGGGTGGGGGGGATGAGGGCGGGAAAGAGAAATTGCTCTCGTCGTAAGGTGACATTGCTTATCCAACGTACGTGAAACAACTTTGATAATATTTTACCACTTTTGGTACAACAGCAGAATACTGGCATAGACAAGTTTATCTGAAGGGTTTTTTATTTAATGAATTCTAGAACGTCGTGTATTTCGGTGACGTCACTTAAAAACTTTTTTTTTTTGCTGTTTGCGAAAAATAACGGAATCGTCGGAATGAGGAAGTTGTAAATTTTATTATAGTGTGTTTCATTCAGCCTTCAGACGCGCGACTAAAGCGATTGCCTAGTGTGTTTCAGCCTTAACTGTTCAATCATGTTAGTTCGATTTCGATTTAAGTAAATAAAATAATAATGAACAAAAATTAAATTACATAAACTCTTTTCAGAATCATTCAACTTTTTAAACTTTCAAACATCGAATTTTTCATGCGTATCATGCAGAGATCAGGACTTCCCAATATTTACAATGATATGAATATTTCCATAATTTCGTAATGGCAAGATTGAAATGATGCATTTAAAGTAAATTTGTTGTTGTTGACTGACGTTTTGACAACACAAACATCACAACATCGCACATTGATGAAAACATTACACGATGAAAACATTACACTTCACACTAATTCACAATGACGATACATAATTGACACCCACATTTTTGACAATACGTATGTTTCATTTTTTCTTATTAACATCATAACGTAGGATAATAATTTTATATGAAATGGTTGTTATTAACGTCATAACGTAAGATAATAATTTTGTGTTAGATGGTTGTTATTAACATCATAACGTAGGATAATTTTATATGAAATGGTTGTTATTAACATCCTTTAAACGTATGTAGTCGTTAGCAAGCTGTTCGCTCTGTCGTCGAAATGATCGTAATAAAGTAAATGGTTTGAACCCGGGAGTATCGTTACATGTTTGTAAATGTAGATCGTCCTGGTTGGTATAGTCCTGAGAAGGACTGTTTTTGTTGTTATTGTTTTTGTGTATGTCTAAAGTACGACATGTACCAGAAAAAATATTTTTTTGTGTCATAGAAATGGGCTTCCCTTTCTCAATTTTGGCATTTTGCCATGTCCGGGTATCTGTGCATGAGAATTGGACTGGATGAATGGAATTCATTGGGTGCAATTTTTAGTGACATAACTAAGTATATATAAGGACATCCGTTGGATATGAACACAGTAGTAGTCAGTAGTAGCTGGCTTGTGACGGAGCATCTCCTCGTCGAAAGCAACATTTGTTGGTAAAGTTTGCGAGTCACATTAGCATATGTAAAATAAAGATATGAACAAAAACGATAAAAATTCAATTTTCGAATCAAATGAGGATGAGAATAGAAATAAAGACGAACATCACGAAGGACTGGAGCATGAGCAACATGAGGAAAACAATTCCCGCAAAGAAAACGTTCTGCAGGAGAATCTTGTAGAAGATCAAGTAGGGATGGAATCAGAAGTTGACAGTTATCCTGAACTTTTTAATATCTTGCTTGAGGTTTTATATTTGGACTTTAGTGTTGAAATATATGATTTATATCTACCAACAATTCCTGATGAACTGTAAGTTTGACTATGTATGTATAAAAATATTTTTTTCTGCAAATGCACAAACCATGGAGTCAAAAGTGGTTAAAATAATAGCTAATTAGATAGAATAAACTCTATCACATTTGTATAATAAGTAAAATTGTTTATGTGCTAATTTTGTAAATGATCTTTTTTTGATTTTTTATTGATACATGCCTCGTAACCATCGTAACCATCTTTTTTCATTTCTAGTACTATTCGATAGACTATGGAAAGCCCAATATTGTTCTAACTTACTAAATACTATGACCTTTTATGAACGATTTCTAAAATTTACGTAACAAAGGCCGGTCGCACGAAGATAACTAGTTACTTTCAGCCTGTTTAGACAACGGTTCCCATGTCAACATTTCCCCATCAGAAAAGTTCCACGTTGTGGAAGTGAAACGTTTCTCAGAATATGAAATTCTAGAATATGCCTTATAGAACGCTGTAAAGACTGCATAGTCTAGTAAATTCTAGTAAATTCTCCGTGGTGTTTATCTCTGGCCAAAAGAAATTTTTAATGTTCCAGGGTACACAGTTTAACGTTTTTTCAAAAACTTCCTGCCGAAGGAAAAAACGTTTGGCTCAGGCAGTGCCGGATCCTGACTACGTCAAAATAAATTACTGCAGTACATTTTTGTATATATTTGCATTTCTAAACACCTTAGAGGCTAATCAATTCGTAAAATTATATCCTTTAGAAATTAAAAACCAATAGTTTTTTTCTGAATATAATTTGAATTTAAAATTTAGTAGCTATAACTTATTTTGAGGTACACTGGATCCGCCTTTGAGGAAACGTCACTGATAACGAAGGACTGTTGAAGAACTTCATATAAGTTATACTATAATGATCAACTATGTCATGTGATATTGCTTTTACTCTGTTCTGTTCGTACTGCTTATTTGCGCACACGCTGTTGTTGTTAACTATAATAAATATATCCAAATCAATCAATGGATGTTTTCATTCGTTACCTAAATATTCTTAACAGGTTATGGGCCCAGAACGCCTAAGTACGATTAGGTAAACCGAATGAATGTGTATGAAATATATTTAATGAAATTTTTGTGTTAAACATGGCTGATGTAAACACGTTGAAATTCGCAAAACTGAATGGGTCGAATTACCGCTCTTGGTCCTTCAACATGCGCTTATATTTGGAGAGTCATGATTTGTTTGAGCATACAGATGGGACGGCTGAAACTCCAACGGAAGATGCTGATGCAGAAGTGCGACGAAAATTCGTTTCAAGTGCGAAGAAAGCCTGGACATATATATGTTTAGCCATAGAACCCGAATACCAGATTCATGTTAGAGATACAAACACAGCCAAGGAAGCTTGGGATGCCCTGAAAAGGCAGTTTGCTCGTGAATCATTGCTGCAAAAAGTACGCTTAAGACAACAATACTACTCGCTTCGTTTTCATCCAGGTAATGATATGATGGAACATGTAAGTCAGTTAAAATCTTTGCACGATCAACTGAAAGAAATGAATGTGTCGATCGATGATAAGGAACTGGCCATGACATTGCTTGCCAGCTTGCCGGAAGAGTTTAAACCTCTGATTACGGCACTAGATGCAGTGGGTGATGAGAATCTATCATATGATAAGGTGAAAAATATGTTATTGAACGATGTTGAAAGGAGTGTGAATACAAAAGCTAAAGAGAATGCATATACAGTACGGGGGAAATATATGAAAGGCAAAAGCAACAATAATGAGAAAAATGGTATGGTATTTCGTGGAAAATGTCATAATTGCAAAGAAGTTGGGCACTTCGCCCGTGATTGTCCAAAACGGAATATGAAAAGTGGTGGGAACACCTTCCATCAAAAGGAAAAGAAGAATTCAGCTTGGTATGCACAGAAAGAAGATGCTTTGACTAATAAAGAGAAAGCATTGGTAGCTACTGATCTGCTGAATAAATCAGTATGGATTATTGACTCGGGAGCAACACAACACATGACCAGTGAGAAGGATCGCTTAACAGAATACACAGCATTTGACAAACCAAGTATTGTTCATCTAGGAGATAATCGGTCAATATTGGCATTTGGTCAAGGTACTTATCATATTGTGTGTGATCTGGGAAATCGTAATCAAGCAATAGCTCTACATGATGTTCTATATCTACCTGATCTTGATAAAAACTTACTCTCTGTTCGAGCAATGATCAAATTAGGTGCAACAGTGGAATTCAAAGGCAAGAGATGTGAAATTGCTAGAAATGGGAAGTTGCTAGCTGTTGGAAATCTTCTAAGTAAACTTTATTTGCTACAAACAAAAGAAGAAGATCATCATGTATACATTTCACAAAAACATTCTATCCTTGAACTATGGCATTATCGATATGGTCATTTAGGTATTGACAATATAAAAGAATTGATGAAAGGGAAATGGTTTATGGAATAAGTAATGAAGACAAAAGTAAGGAACGTTCAATTTGTGAAAGTTGCATTATGGGAAAGCAACATAGAACTGAATATCCTAAAGGAGGTGGAAAGCGTGCAACTAATCTCATGGAATTGGTACATAGTGATGTCTGTGGACCAATATTGGTTAACTCATTTGGTGACTCACGGTATTTTGTAACTTTCATTGATGACTTTTCTCGTTACACGTACGTCTATTTTATCAAGAGAAAAAGTGAAGTTTTAGAAAAATTCCAAGAGTTCGTTAATCATGTCACCAACCTCACTGGCAAACCAATTAAAGTGCTTCGTACCGACAATGGCGGTGAATATTGTTCAAAGGAATTCGAATCATATTTGAAACAAAAAGGAATTAGTCATCAGTTGACAGCTCCTTATAGTCCTGCACAAAACGGTGTCTCAGAAAGGATGAATAGGACACTTGTGGAATCTGCCACGTGTATGATGCATCATGCAAGTCTACCAAGAGAATTTTGGGCTGAATCTGTCAGCACTGCCGCCTATCTTCGAAACCGAAGTCCCAATAGCTCACTCAAAGGAATCACGCCTTATGAAGTCCTTTTTAATCAGAAGCCTAATGTGTCGCATTTGAAAGTATTTGGCTGCTTAGCATTTCTCCATATTCCAACCGAGAATCGTAGAAAATTTGAAGAAAAGAGCCGACGAGTTATTTTTGTTGGTTATCCTGCTGGAACCAAAGGTTATAAACTCTATGATCCATTATCAAAAAGATTTATCCGTGGAAGAGATGTTATGTTCGCTGAAAACAAATTTTACGAATTTAGTAAGGATTCTTCTGCACAACCCAAATCTTTCTACTATCCCGAAGAAGATAAATCAATCGAAGTTCAAGAAAAACAACCTGAAAATGATGAAGGTGACCAAATTGTTGATGACATGAATGTCAATGAAAATGCGGTGCCTGGTCAACAAGTGGGAGAAAGTTATGAAGAACGTTTCTTGCGAGAGACTGAAAACTTGAATGCAAAAAGGATACGCAGACCTCCACGACGATTTGACGACGAGTGTTATATTGCTGATAACCTCACGGAAGATGTTGATGAGCCTTTAAACATAAAAGAAGCGTGGACAGGAGAACATGCAAATCAGTGGAAAAAGGCAACTGATTCTGAGTATGACTCTTTAATCAATAATGGAACATGGGAACTCGTTCCTCCACCAAACAACAAGAATATTGTGGGAAGTCGTTGGGTGTTCAAGGTGAAACACAATTCTGATGGAACTGTCAACAGATTTAAAGCTCGTTTGGTTGCTCAGGGATATTCTCAATCCGAAGGGATTGACTACCAAGAAGTATTCTCACCTGTAGTTCGTAACACAACTATAAGATCACTATTGGCTGTCGCTAATATCTATAATTGGGAGATTCATCAAATGGATGTCCATACAGCGTTCTTGCAAGGAGAATTGCAAGATGAAATATACATGAAACAACCTAGTGGTTACGTTGACAAAGATAGACCTGAGTTCGTATGTAAGCTTAAGAAAAGTATTTATGGCCTCAAGCAGGCAGCTAGGTGCTGGAATACCTCTATTGACACCTATCTTACATCAAACGGATACAAGAAATCAACTGCAGATCCATGCGTCTATGTTAAGTCAGTAAAACAAAAAAACGGAAAGATTAACTTCGTGATAATGGCTATTTATGTTGACGACATGCTATGGTTTTCAAATAATTCAGAGATGCTAAAAAAGGAAAAAGATATGATTGCTGAAAGATTTAAAGTGGACGACTTAGGAGAAGTGAAATATGTTCTCGGAATGGTGATTGAACGAAACCGCAAGACAAGAACACTATCCATTAGTCAGCCAAAATATCTGGAAGGGATACTTAAGAGATTTGGGATGGACCAATGCAAACCTGTCACAACACCGATGGAGACTGGAATGAAATTTGAGTCATTGTCAAAAGATGAGACACCAGTGGAGACTCAAAGATATCAAATGGCAATTGGTTGTCTGACCTATGCAGCTACTGCTACTCGTCCCGATATTTCATCGGCAGTCGGAATTTTGTCGAAGTTTATGTCTCGACCGAGCGTAGTACATTGGCAAGGTGTAAAGAGAATCCTCCGGTATTTAAAGGGAACGTTGGATTATGGTTTGTTATTCACGGCTACTAGTTCAGATCCTGTGTTATCCGGATATTCTGATGCAGACTGGGGAGGTGATATTGAGACCAGACGATCAACTTCCGGATATGTGTTTCAAATCCAAAATAATACTGTCAGTTGGAGAAGTAAGAGACAGACCTCAGTATCCAGATCAACCACTGAAGCCGAGTACATAGCCTTAAGTTTAGCAAGCCAAGAAATTGTTTGGTTGAGAAGATTGCTTTCAAACATTGGAACACAGCAAGATGAACCATCTATAGTTTTTGAAGACAATCAGGGAGCAATAGAACTTACAAAAAATCCTAAATTCCATAATCGAACCAAACATGTGGACATAGCTTTTCATTTTGTCCGTGAACAAGTCAATCGTGATGTGATATCTGTGGTATACTGTTCGACAGATAAGATGTTAGCAGATATTATGACAAAAGCTCTACCAAGAAAAACTTTTGAGAACTTTCGAGATATGTTGGGAGTCAAGAAAATTAAGTAATTCCCAAGTTAGAGACATTAATTGGATTAGTTAAAAAACTTTTTATAGTATGATCATTAAGTGGGAGTGTTGAAGAACTTCATATAAGTTATACTATAATGATCAACTATGTCATGTGATATTGCTTTTACTCTGTTCTGTTCGTACTGCTTATTTGCGCACACGCTGTTGTTGTTAACTATAATAAATATATCCAAATCAATCAATGGATGTTTTCATTCGTTACCTAAATATTCTTAACAAGGACATGACAGTAATAACTGTCGTTTTTCAGAAATATCTCCTTGACAGGTTTTTCTAATTTGCTACAACCAAATTTGCAACTTTTGCCAACAGACGATTTTATGGAAGACTTGAATTTGGTACTGGTACCGACAGAGAGATGCGTTCTTGTCATTTCTTGCTGAAAAGTACGTCGTCCATCAAAGCTCCTCAGTTCGTACATATGTAAAATTGCCATATACCAGCTGTTATCCTTCTGTTAAAGTAAGTAAACAGTTTGAATTAACGTTAGAATGGAAGTTTGTAAATTTTGATGAATACGACGTCAGTATACGTTGTCGTTCCAATAATAAAAGCGAAACCAAAGAAATATTTATATGTAAATGCAACTATGTTCAACGCAATTGGGTAAAATTTTGACAGTTTTCATCATACAAAGGAAATTGCGCTAGGCTGTCGTCAATAGCTTCAAATATCTATTCTTTTGAACCTTTTCATGCACTGTGTCGAAACATAGACGAACAAACATGTACTTATGGGAAGCATGAAAATATTTAAACCAGTTATAACCAGGAGGCGTCAATTTCCTGAATACTTTAAACATCGAAACATGTTTTATAATATTTAAGTCACGCTTTAGTGAGAATTGTGTGATAAGTTTTGAAGTATGTATTGGCTCCTTTGCTTTGATTGTAACAAATCTATTGCTCACTTTAATGACAAAGGCATTTAATGCTCCCTTGAGTGCAAACAATTTAGTATAAATTTATCGTTTTAAAACTTTCAAAGTCGTCATTAAATATGGATCAGAAATTACCTTCTCGCATGTTTATCATACACTATAAATTTGTTGACAGTAATTATTCATTCTTTGGTATTAGATTATCAAAGATGTAGCCACATAGCACAAGTGTTCATCTCTTCCTCATAACTGTGGTTCATTGGAGCATGTTACATACGATTTATCTCAACATTTTCGCGAAATACTTTCAAGTTTGTTCAAAAGTGCTCATGTTTCTCGAAAGTTCCCGATCAAATTTGCAAATCTGTTCGATGATTGCCAACGTTGCTCAAAATAAAAACACGAAATCAACTGTATACTTGCTTCGCATTGAAAGTGTCATCTTTGTATCATAATATGCAAACCACTAAAAATATAAATTTGTCCGCTAGATTCAATGTCGTGAAACCGTCAAAGCGATTTCTTCATAAGCTTTGAAGGAATTTTAATGCACAAAAATAAACGTTTACAACTGCAGCCATTGTGAACGTATCGACGTTTTCGCTTTAAATATTTGAAATGTTTCTAATTATGTAATTAATTTTCTGAAATGCTTTTAATTTATGTTAATTTTGTAAGAGTATCTATGATGTTCTTTAGAATGCCTCCTTGTTTATCAAAATCAATAATGAGAGACGTCTACGCCATTTATCCACAAAAGTATAATGTTGTACCACAATACAACCAAACGATCATTTCTATGCTCCAAAATAGACCTGAGCGAAGTCCTATCGCTAGAACTGATATGTACGATATTGTGAGCTTGCTTTACATGTCGAATGAGTTGGTTGAAAAAGAGATCATGAAAAGTGAAGGAGAAAATGCACTCTCGTTTATTCTGTCTCATCTTGATGATCAATCAATGACGGTTTACTTGGAACCTACATTAAGAATTTTTTTAAGTGTACTATATTTACGAATAACGCCCTTCCTCTTTTTTCGTACAATGAAAACTGCCAAAACCATTGGTTTACGCAGAATTTTTCACGTCGTAATGAAGCAAGGGACCAAACTAATCAAGAAGTAAAGATTTTTAATGCAAATAACAAAGATGAAGCAATTAGATATATCATCGAGGTTGAAGGATTAAAGAAAGAAGAAGCCGACAACTAGCGACCACAGTTGACTCGCTGTCATGAATTTCAGTTTTTTACCTTGATTTTCATCATTAATTTTCTTGTCAAATGCCAAATACGAAAATACGTTTTTCTCACTCTTTCTTCGGGGGGGAGATGAGAAATTGCAAAATTTTCTGCAAAGCAGTCAATCTCGGTAAATCTTAGCGGAAATATGTCAATTATGTAAAACTCGTACTGTCTTGAATTTTTCACCACCTTTCTGGAATTTGCCAACGGGAATGAAAGAAAATCGGTCACAGATCACGGACTATAAATTCAATGGTGTCGCTTCTTAGCAATTCTGATTGGTTAACCGAATAACATAAATAACAGGACGGACAAAACTCACACGGACTATATAGTCGATGACAGAGACACAGAACGCACGGACTCAAGTGTATGGTATACTCAACGAATTAAAACAATTTTCAATTTCTATTTTTTCCTATTTCCGGTTAACTTGATTTCCCGACAGCAGGTAAGTCTGACTTTTTTGTTGACATTTATGTTATACGTAAACATTTTACTTGAGCTGAATTTTTTGTCCTCATTTAGCTAAAGCTATTATATAAGTTTTGATTTATTACTATTAAACTTAGTGAATTTGTACAAAATTGCGGGATTTCCATTGCGTAGTACTAACTAGTTTTGGCTTTTCTGACGCCTTGAAGCGGTTTATCAATTTCGGCAGCGACGAAATCATTATGGTCGCTTCCCCGGGCGTGTTAAATCTGTTGCGAGGGCGGAGTGTATTATGTATTCAGTTTTACCCCTGCTGTTATAGCCATTGGATATAACAAACACTAGTAAAACAAGTAACCAGGACGATAATTTTATATAAAACAAAATAAAACAAATTCCGAAAATAGACATCCCGTTTTCTTGATATTCAAGATGATACAAGAGTTTTAAAACAAAAGATGGACATCATCTTGATTATCAAGAAAACGAGATGTCTGTTCGGAATTTGTTTTATTTTGTTTCATAATAACCAGTGGATAAAACAAGGCGCTCACTCGGTCAGAACAATGTTTGATTATATATGCGCCATATTTGTGGATTAGAATAGTTGACAAAACTAGCAAAACAATGCAACGACTTTTTGGCATCACCAGTCAGAATCCCTCTTTCCTATACTTCTTACCCGATCGTGTATGAAATACTTTGGTTGTCTGTAAGATTAAAATCAAATTTTAAACATCACCACTTAACTTTTAAACTCTTGCATGGAAAAGTTCCGTGAATAAAGACTTTTTATCTTCATTTTATACAAGCATAGACATGGGTTGCAAGCTTAGCAAAAAATCCAACAACAACAGAAGGTTGGAACATGGGGAACATGAAGTAAGTAATGGTGAACAAATTGTTCACCATAATCTTGAAGAAGTGACGGCAGGAATAGAAAAGAGTGGAAGACGTCATCCCATACAAGAGACTCTAATGGAGGAATTCAATTTTTTACCTCATGTCTTGGATTTGATAAGAGAACATGGATGTACGATGGAAGCGCTGGATGATTTTGTGTTGAATGTTCAGTCAACACAAGAAGAAGTTTAAGTCAGAATGTATTAGTTGCCAACTTTCAGGTCCGTTTTTCAAACGTCGCATTTTACTTGAGCCGAATGCATTTAAAACAAAACATAGCAAGGAATTTATCTAAGTTTAAAACTGTCTCAAGTATAGAAAGAACCATTCAATATATTATAGTAAAAATAACCATTCACTATATAATAGTGTAAAATGTAAGCACTTGAAAACGCATCTTGTTTCAAAAACGGAAACTTTCAAGGACATATTTGTTTACATCTTGCGTAACTTATTGACAATTAATTAATGTAACCATTTAATAACTTTCCTTAAATTTTTGTATGTAAAGATATATTTATTTTTCTATTTATGTCATTATTAACTTTGAATGAAATGATAATTTTCGATGTAATCGTTCATCGTTTTCTCTCGAAGTGTTCCTAAGTAGTTGATTTCAAAACAAGCCAATAATGATGGTAAATTCTGGTTAATGTTAAAAAACAGCGAGAAGATATTGTACACTGTCATACACATGCAGAGTATTTGAATGGACTATTTAATTATTTCTCTCTTGTTTAGTTGGACTCATTCAATAGTTTATTACAAGTCGATGATCTTAAATATTGAATATGTTCTTACTTTCAAAGCAAACAATTTTACGAACTTTTGAAATCGAAACCAAAAATCTTGGATTTTTTGAGAGCTTTGGGATTTTCTCTGTATTTTTATTTTAGGAAAAAGATATTTTTGGGTGTAGCAAACGATAATTTTAAATATCAATATTTTGATTAATTTGGTTGCCTAGCATCTCTTTGCTTTGTGTGCTCTATTATTAGATTGACAATCAATGATTCTGTCTATTTTAATTTATCATATAGAATTTTAAACATTTAGCAATGATAATTATTATAGCAATAATAATTTATATCTTGTTGAGTGTAACAAACGATAATTTTAAATATCAATATTTTGATTAATTTGGTTGCCTAGCATTTCTCTGCTTTGTGTGCTCTATTATTAGATTGACAATCAATGAATCTGTCTATTTTAATTTATCATATAGAATTTTAAACATTTAGCAATGATAATTATTCATTGCGCTCGGTCAGAGGACTGTGAACTAGTCAACAAACAACTGAGAATGAACATTATATTTCTGAATTTATGAAAACTGACTTGGAAACTTTGAAAATGAACTAAAAATGAGTTTATTTTCTTTGTCTTTCTCTGTTTATTGTAAATAAAACGTTATCCACTCTGTGGCATTTCGTTGTTCGTGTTTTATGACAACAATTTTAGCCGCCATTTTGGGGAATATTTTAGCTATTTGTGTTAAACTTGGAAATGTTAAAGTGAAAAAAACTGAACCAAACGAAGAAAAAGTAGAGGCAATACATTCATTCTGTGCTTGATCTCATAAGGTTTGTGTCAAGTATGAATAAATATGTTCAAATGTTTATTTTCTGTATGTTTTTGTATGTAAGTTTAGGAAATTTTGTTTGTAAAATTAAAGTTAAGATTGTACAGAGCACAGCGATTATTTACGAATAAATTGTCGTGTTCTTTAAGATAAATCGTATTTCACCACCTACTTATGTTGTCAAAACGACAACAATGAATTGAAAAGAAGGTTTAAAAGCTTTGGAAACTTCAATCAAAACCATTGAAGAAGTCATTATGAACAAGAAAGGTACATTTGTTCTAAGTATAAAGTACCGTCCCTCAAACTTTCTGTTATCAATCTCTGTATCATTTTATTCCATGTGCATGTTATGTCCTTAACATCTTGTTATCATCTTTATACCATCTTTGTACTACCACCATGTGAACTTCATATCATACCATATCATCCTCAAACCATCACCACATCATCTTTGTACCACCATGTGATCCTCATATCATACCATATCATCCTCAAACCATCACCACATCATCTTTGTATTACCACCATGTGATCCTCATATCATACCATATCATCCTCAAACCATCACCACATCATCTTTGTATTACCACCATGTGATCCTCATATCATACCATATAGTCCTAAAACCATCACCACATCATCTTTGTACTACCACCATGTGATCCTCATATCATACCATATCATCCTCAAACCATCACCACATCATCTTTGTACTACCACCATGTGATCCTCATATCATACCATATCATCCTCAAACCATTACCACATTCTTTGTACTACCACCATGTGATCCTCATATCATACCATATAGTCCTCAAACCATCACCACATCATCTTTGTACTACCACCATGTGATCCTCATATCATACCATATAGTCCTAAAACCATCACCGCATCATCTTTGTATTACCACCATGTGATCCTCATCATACCATATCAACCTAGTACCATCACTATATATCATCCTCATGCAATCACCGCATTATCCACATACCTCCCCATACCATCCTTGAAGGCCATTGGGTGATTTGCACATTACAAGTCAATTGTTGATTCAAACCTTCACTTTACTCACAGATTTTTAACTTTGATCATTACTGACCAAGAGCTTTAGCAATCTACTTTTGTGTTTATTTTGTCAGTTCTTCTCATTATGTCAGATACATGCCAATCGAGGTTAGGGGTTGAAATGTATTTGTAAATCCTATTGCCATGCCTTTGCATTCATAAAAGAAATTTGTTGATTTCAAATAATAAATTTAGGCTATAAATTTCTACCATTGATTATCATTTTTATCTGTTTAGCCAAAGGTTGTCACAGATATGGATGAAGTAGATTTTGCAAAGGAACTGGAAATATATGAACATCAAAATGCAGAAGTTGATGGTGATGATGATAATCCTGATGAAGAAGAGCAAGATGAAGCATAAATAATTGTGGTTTGTTCTAAAACATTTTAAAAGACACATACTGTATTTTATTTTTATCTTACACGACCCTGCAGTTGACTTGAACTGCATTTAGTTAAACTTCAATTATATTCACACCCAACAGAGATATCAATCTTTCATGTTACTATTAGAAATAAATGTTTCATGGTCAGTATTTCGAAAAGAAATTTATTTAAGGTCAGGCGCGGATCCAGCTCCTTAGCTGACCGATGCATTGCGAGCGCCGAAGCCACCTGGGGGTCTCTGGGGGCATGCTCCCCAGAAAATTTTTGAATTTTCACTATCCAAGAAGCATTTTCCAGCGATTTGGGAAAGGTGACAGAAAAATCTTAAGCGTAAATTTTATCGAAAAAATAACATGAGCCGTCTTTTGTAAGATAACAGCATTGATAAAAGCAATGTTCAAAGGTGGTCTTCTTCCAACGGTGAAAAAGATGAATCTGGCTCTGTACAGACAATTACCATCACCTCTAGTTCTAAATATAGCAGAGTTAAGAAAATTCTCATTGTGTGGCTATAAATTAGAAATCAGAAGAATTCAAAACTTAAATGTCTGACAGGGTTATTTGGAAAAGAAAATGTTAGCTTCTACTGAAGTCATAAGTATATTGGAAGAAGGAATACAGTCATTTGATTTTTAATGTGATCCATACACTACATAAACTAAAATGCAACTAAAATCGCACCTACCCCTGCATATTACAGTTTGTATTATATTACATATGAATACAAGTATAAGTGCTGCATAAGTAATATGACATCGTGTGTATTTTATGATGATTGTTCGTCGTTATCTACACGACTACACTCTGAGTCTGAAATGAGTACACTATTTACATTTAAAACATGCAAGCATAAAGGTAAATTTACTTACTTTAAAGCTCTTAGTTCTCCACTTTGCCAATGAACTGTCAAGTGCTTAGGTATTAACATTTCACTTGACATATCTCTCCCATTTTTACCCTTTGAAAAGGGATTCCAAGGAGAGGATTTTGAAATAAAAGTAGCAGCTCTCGTTTCATAGGTTCGACGCACTCCATTAATATCAAATGACTTCTCTTCTCGAAGCAGAGTACACGGATCGTGTTTGATATTCTCAACAGCCATGACTTCGATCGATGATTGCGAGTTATATCAAGTGATCAAATAACAATGCATTCAACTTTGAAGTTCAAAGTTGAATGCATCGGTGCCATGTGCCCACAATCACAAAATTATGGAAAATGCATCGCTCAGCGGCAAAATCTACCGTGACGTGAGGCCCTAAAACAATGGTTTTGCTGATGTCACAGTAGATTTCACGCGAAAAGGACTCGGGACCGATGCATCGCAAATCTACTGTGACGTAGCGATGCCTCTTCCATCTACCGTGACGTGCTGGCAGAATACTATTAAATTACTTACTAATTATGTATTCACGACAAAATTTCGCTAAATTTTATCGACTTTTCTTTCGCTATTTGTGTCATGGAATACGACAAAATTATCGGAGAACACAAACGTTATTTCTAGAACAAATTTTAGCTTAAAACTGCTAAATCTATAAGTTAACTAAACAATATATCACTGTCAAATGTGCGTTTTAAATAATTCGAAAATAATATTTGCTATTTATTTCATTAAAATGCAAACTCGCAGATTTTAATATCTAAATATTTTGACCGATGCATTCGCATCGGTTGCTTCGGTCTAGATCCGCCCCTGTTTAAGGTCCATTATGGTTAAAATACAGCCTCAAATATTTAACTTGAGATGAATTGGACCTTCGCGAAACTATTGTAAATGTGTAGTCGTTGAAATGGAAGTTAAATTTCATGTTAACTTAATCTCGACGTTCACCTTTGCCGTTTATCAGAACTTATACAGTCAGTGAAGTTCGTTGAAAATTTCTATTGCTACTCTCTAACTTTATATATCATCAAATAAAACTGAGAATATTTGAAATTTCAAACACGGAAGGGTATTAAGATGTTGACGAAAAAAACGAGTAAACACAACTTTAATATATATGGTCGATCAAAAATGCACAATTTTAAAAAACACTTGAGAAAAACGACGATTTTTTTTTGAGAGCAAACATGTTTCGACATTATCAGAATGCCATCTTCAGTGCAGAATGATTAGTGTTAAGTAATATGATACATAATATGATATGAATAAATTAATTACAATGAGTATTAAGTATTAAGAACTATAACATAAGTTCTAAAAATAAGTATTAAGAACTATAACATAAGTTCTAAAAATAAGTATTAAGAAGTATAACATAAGTTCTAAAAATAAGTATTAAGAACTATAACATAAGTTCTAAAAATAAGTATTAAGAACTATAACATAAGTTCTAAAATAAGTATTAAGAACTATAACATAAGTTCTAAAAATAAGTATTAAGAACTATAACATAAGTTCTAAAAATAAGTATTAAGAACTATAACATAAGTTCTAAAAATAAGTATTAAGAACTATAACATAAGTTCTAAAATAAGTATTAAGAACTATAACATAAGTTCTAAAAATAAGTATTAAGAACTATAACATAAGTTCTAAAATAAGTATTAAGAACTATAACATAAGTTCTAAAATAAGTATTAAGAACTATAACATAAGTTCTAAAATAAGTATTAAGAACTATAACATAAGTTCTAAAATAAGTATTAAGAACTATAACATAAGTTCTAAAAATAAGTATTAAGAACTATAACATAAGTTCTAAAAATAAGTATTAAGAACTATAACATAAGTTCTAAAAATAAGTATTAAGAACTATAACATAAGTTCTAAAAATAAGTATTAAGAAGTATAACATAAGTTCTAAAAATAAGTATTAAGAATTTATAACAAAAGTTCTAAAAATAAGTATTAAGAACTATAACATAAGTTCTAAAATAAGTATTAAGAACTATAACATAAGTTCTAAAAATAAGTATTAAGAACTATAACATAAGTTCTAAAATAAGTATTAAGAACTATAACATAAGTTCTAAAAATAAGTATTAAGAACTATAACATAAGTTCTAAAATAAGTATTAAGAACTATAACATAAGTTCTAAAATAAGTATTAAGAACTATAACATAAGTTCTAAAATAAGTGTTAAGAACTATAACATAAGTTCTAAAATAAGTATTAAGAACTATAACATAAGTTCTAAAAATAAGTATTAAGAACTATAACATAAGTTCTAAAATAAGTATTAAGAACTATAACATAAGTTCTAAAATAAGTATTAAGAACTATAACATAAGTTCTAAAAATAAGTATTAAGAATTTATAACAAAAGTTCTAAAATAAGTATTAAGAACTATAACATAAGTTCTAAAAATAAGTATTAAGAAGTATAACATAAGTTCTAAAATAAGTATTAAGAACTATAACATAAGTTCTAAAATAAGTATTAAGAACTATAACATAAGTTCTAAAATAAGTATTAAGAACTATAACATAAGTTCTAAAATAAGTATTAAGAACTATAACATAAGTTCTAAAATAAGTATTAAGAACTATAACATAAGTTCTAAAATAAGTATTAAGAACTATAACATAAGTTCTAAAATAAGTATTAAGAACTATAACATAAGTTCTAAAATAAGTATTAAGAACTATAACATAAGTTCTAAAATAAGTATTAAGAACTATAACATAAGTTCTAAAAATAAGTATTAAGAACTATAACATAAGTTCTAAAATAAGTATTAAGAACTATAACATAAGTTCTAAAATAAGTATTAAGAACTATAACATAAGTTCTAAAAATAAGTATTAAGAAGTATAACATAAGTTCTAAAAATAAGTATTAAGAATTTATAACAAAAGTTCTAAAATAAGTATTAAGAACTATAACATAAGTTCTAAAATAAGTATTAAGAACTATAACATAAGTTCTAAAATAAGTATTAAGAACTATAACATAAGTTCTAAAATAAGTATTAAGAACTATAACATAAGTTCTAAAATAAGTATTAAGAACTATAACATAAGTTCTAAAATAAGTATTAAGAACTATAACATAAGTTCTAAAAATAAGTATTAAGAATTATAACATAAGTTCTAAAATAAGTGTTAAGAACTATAACATAAGTTCTAAAATAAGTATTAAGAACTATAACATAAGTTCTAAAAATAAGTATTAAGAACTATAACATAAGTTCTAAAAATAAGTATTAAGAACTATAACATAAGTTCTAAAAATAAGTATTAAGAACTATAACATAAGTTCTAAAAATAAGTATTAAGAATTTATAACAAAAGTTCTAAAAATAAGTATTAAGAACTATAACATAAGTTCTAAAAATAAGTATTAAGAACTATAACATAAGTTCTAAAAATAAGTATTAAGAACTATAACATAAGTTCTAAAAATAAGTATTAAGAACTATAACATAAGTTCTAAAAATAAGTATTAAGAACTATAACATAAGTTCTAAAATAAGTATTAAGAACTATAACATAAGTTCTAAAATAAGTATTAAGAACTATAACATAAGTTCTAAAATAAGTATTAAGAACTATAACATAAGTTCTAAAATAAGTATTAAGAACTATAACATAAGTTCTAAAAATAAGTATTAAGAACTATAACATAAGTTCTAAAAATAAGTATTAAGAACTATAACATAAGTTCTAAAAATAAGTATTAAGAACTATAACATAAGTTCTAAAAATAAGTATTAAGAACTGTAACATAAGTTCTAAAAATAAGTATTAAGAACTATAACATAAGTTCTAAAAATAAGTATTAAGAACTATAACATAAGTTCTAAAAATAAGTATTAAGAACTATAACATAAGTTCTAAAAATAAGTATTAAGAACTATAACATAAGTTCTAAAAATAAGTATTAAGAATTTATAACAAAAATGTTATTATAAAGTAAAAATAGTGTTGTAGTGGTGAACTTGAATTTTTAGATCGGGATTAGTTTTATTAATGTGTAGAGCTTCCTTGATTTTGAGTGAGAAAGTGGATTGATCAGTGTCGATGATTTTAAACCTCATTTTTAAACCTCAACCGATAATTTCTCACCTTCCTGTTTTATTTTCCTGTTTTCTCACCTTCCTGTTTTCTCACATTCCTGTTTTCTCACTTTCGTTTTGAGAACGGAATCTTCGGAATGAGGAAGTTGTAAATTTTATTATAACTGTTCAATCACATTAGT